GGTATCGTCCACAAACTTTATAAGTGTCCTCTCTAGGCCATTATCTAAATCATTGATGAAGATATTGAACAGAACCAGACCCAGAACCGATCTCTGCGGGACTCCACTCGTTATGCCTTTCCGGCCTGACTGTGAACCACCGATAACTACTCTCTGGGGACAGTTTTCCAACCAGTTTTGTGCCCACCTTATAGCAGCTCCATCTAGGTTGTATTTCCCTAGTTTGTTTATGAGAAGGTCATGCGAGACAGTATCAAAAGTCTTACTAAAGTCAAGATAGACCACATCTACCGCTTCCCCCCAGCCACAAGGCTTGTTACCCTGTCAAAGAAAGCTATCGGGTTGGTTTGACATGATTTGTTCTGGACAAATCCATGCTGACTGTTACTCGTCAGCTATTATCTTCAAGATGTCTGCAAACTGATTGCTTAATTATTTGCTCCGTTAGCTTTCTGGGGGCTGCAAAATCCGGCTTGAAAACCTCAACGTTCCTTGTGGTTTGCATTTTTCGTTCTCTTCCTGGAGAGCGGAGCCTTTGTCCCGTCCGGGAGCCGGGCCCACGCAGTAATCTCTACTTTGGTGCCGCTTTGGGCTGGCCCAGGGGCTTGGCCAGAGCGAAGCACGTTTATTGATGTGGCTGTAGATTTCTCCAGATGAACATTGCCGGGCTTGGACGAGCTTAGAAGATCTTCTGGCTCGGATACAGCCCTTCCTGTCTGGAGATCTCGAAGCACTTTATAAAGCAGGTGGGTCTCGTTAGCTCCACTTCACAGACAGGGAAACCGAGGCACGGAATGGCCCGTGAAGCACACCTGTGTGCTCTACCCACTATCATTTTTTTACCTTGTGACCCCCTGCGACATTATTGAGAGAATCTGTGTCCATCTGTTGCAACCACTGTTATATATTTGCAGCAGGTGCTGTACAAAGGTTGTCATGCGAGGTGTTTGTGGAGAGGTTGTGGTGTGCTGGGGGTGATTGTGCTGGGTGGGTGTGTATTGGTTTTGTAGTTGACGGTAGGAATGTTGGCTCTGCGCTCGTATCTCAAGGTGTGTGACTCTAAGTACCCACAGTGAAGCACTGGGGTGGCTTCTTGAGAAAGGAATTTGCAAGTTAAGGGCCCAATCCAGAAACACTTAACGGACAATGGATCTTGGGAGACTCCAATCCAGATAAGAAATCTACCTGGGGGTGTTCAGGATGGCGTGTGGGCAGTGGCTACCACCTGTAAAAACTGAGTCACGCCTGGACATGTGACTGGCCCATGTGACTCCAAACTCCATTTTGCTGTAATTTTCCACGGTAAGTACAAAGAAGTGTTCTTACACCTGGAGGAGACTATAAAAGGCTGATGCCTCATCTCCATCTTGTCTTCAATCCTGCTTCTCACCTCTGGAGGGACTTTGCTACAAACGGAAGCTCTGAACAAAGGACTGAGGACCCATCCCGGCTGGGGATGTATTCCAGAGACTTGATTTGAACCTGCAGTTTATTCTATCACTGCTACGAGCCTGAACCAAGAACTTTGCCATTACTGTATGTAACTGATTCCATGTAACCAGTTCTAGCTCTCAGTGATATCTTTTTTCTTTTTATGAATAAACCTTTCAATTGTAGATTCTAAGGATTGGCTTGTGGGGAAGATCTGACTTGTCTATCGACCTGGGTCTGGGGCTTGGTCCTTTGGGATCAGGAGAACCTTTTCCTTTTACTGGGGTATTGGTTTTCATAACCATTCGTCACCATAACGAGTGGCGCTGGTGGTGATACTGGGAAACTGGAGTGTCTGAGGGAATTGCTGGTGTGACGTGTGGTTCGCCAGTGGGGTGAGACCAAAGTCCTCTCTGTCTGGCTGGTTTGGTGCTGGGTGTGCAAAGGACCCGAGCCTTGGGCGGGGTCTGCCCTGCTCTGAGCGATTTGTCTTGGATTGAGGCTCTCAGTTGGGTCCCACCAGAACCAGCATCATTACCGCCCCCTTACCCCTGTCTGTGACCCC